TGTCCTGCAGTGGCGTAGTCATGACACATGGCGATGATTTCTCTTCATAAATTGTGGTCTCATGGAATATAGATTCTTCCATCGTATTGGATCATTTCTTCCTCCTTCGTCATTCCCTGCTCATGATTCAGCGAGGGAGCGATTCTCTGGTCCCATTTTTGGGTGTCTTGGATTGCACTCTTGATCCGCTTATAGATCTCTTCTTCAGTAGGCATGATTAATGCTCAAAAATGCTTGGGGCATAGCATTATGACTTCTATATTGTCATCTCCTCCTTGGTCATGATCGGCCTGTCAGGAGAGGAGGTCGGCCTTTTTATTCACCACCCCGGCCTTATGGTGAAGAGTGTATTAGTATTGGGTGAGCTCAGTGACCCATTGGGCTTGTCATCAATTCAATTTTTGCAGTTGTTGGAAACATCTAAGGTTCTGGTAATCCATCCAGATTTCGAAAGTCATGGGGATGCTGATCAAATAATGTCACCACTCTGCCAGGGCAATCATTATCGCCAATAACTCCTTATCATAGATTTCATAGTTCCTTTCCATCATGGTTAACACCTTGGAGAGGAAGGCGACTGGCCGCCACTTCCCATCTTGTTCTTGAGACAATACAGTGCCTATGGCCCCATCATTTGAATCTGCCTCGACATGGAACTTTCCTTCTTGGGATAGTATGGCCAGGACTATGTCCTTGGCCAGTTGCCTTTTTAGGTCATCAAAGGCAAGTTGTTGGGTGTTTCCTCATTCTCAAGGGGCGTTACTGGTGAGTTGGGTCATTGGACAAACAATTTTGCTATAGTCTCGGATAAACCTTCAATAGAAGTTTGTGAACCTGAGGAAGGATTGTAGCTCCTTTTTCTTTGTCAGTGTCGGCCATTCCACTACCTCTGCCACCTTAATCGGGTCCATCCTAATACTTCCCTTGCTAATGATTACTCTGAGGTATTCTGTTTCTGATACCTTGAACTCATATTTTTCCGCTTTGAGAAATAGTTTATGCCTTCGCATAAGGGTGAGCACTTGTCGAACCAAGTCATGATGCTCCTCTCTTGTTTGGAACATAATGAGGATGTCGTTCAGGTAGATGGTGACCTTTCCTGTGGTAATGAGATCCTTAAATATGTCGTTCATCATTCATTGAAAGGTGGCCAGAGAGTTGGTCAAGCTGAAAAACATAACTGTTAGCTCGAACAGCCCTCGGTTGGTTCAGAAAGCTGCTTTCCACTCGTCTCCTTTCTTAATTCTGATGTTATTGTATCCCCAGCAGATGTCGAGCTTGGTGTAATATTTAGCTCCATGAAGCTTGTCCATGAGTTCCGAGATCAGGGGTAATGGATATTGGTTTTTGATGGTCATCTCGTTTAGTTTGCAATAGTCTTGGACCAGTCAGAGTTTGCCATCCTTCTTCTTTACGAAGAAGAAGGGTGATGTCATTGGGGACTTGGAAGGTTGGATGTGCCTGGATGACAGGTTTTCGTCAAGGAATTTATCAAGTTCCTGCTGTTCTTGGATACCGAGAGGATAGGTTTTGCAGTCTAGGTTGGCGCTGGCATTGGGAATCAGTTTGATTGCATGATCCCAAGGCTTCAGGCAGGGGAGTTCATCAAAACTCTCCTTTTTGAACAGGTCCCTGTAGTCTCACGCCCACTCCAGTACCATTTTCTCAAACGTTTTCTCTTTCTTTCCTTCATTGGCTTTAGCTGCCAGGTTATTGGCATGGTGCATCACCTGAATATGAGCCTCTTTTTGTAGGTCGACAGCCAAAATGGTCTCACCGTCTTCCATCTCCTCATCCCACCTGTCTTCCAGGTCCTCATCAGATAACTCGAATGGGATCTTTCGACACCGGCATCGGGCGAAGGTGAGTCGCCCAGTTTTCCAATTGATAAGTGGGTTGTGTCGAATGAGCCAGTCATATCCTAAGAATAACTCCTTGGACCCAAGATCCGTTACAGCGAGATCAATCCATTCAGAGTGGTCCCCAATGGTTAGTTGGATTTCGACAAACTCCATGATTGATCCAGCTTGATTCTTTGTTCTGTCAGTGTTATACATGAGGATCAGGGTGGCAGTAGATTGGGTGGGAAGTTTATTTTGGAGTACGAAACTGTGATTAATCGAACTTCTGGTGCATCTGCTGTCGATCAGGGCAGTGACTGAGTGTTGTGTTCAGTTGGTCAGAGTTTCGATCTGTGCCTTGATTGTCAAATCCTGTCCCAGGGTTTTGGTTCGTCTGATGAACTTCCAGGGTCCTTTTAGCTCATCTAGCCATTTGAGGGCTTGGCTTCGTTTGGAGTCGATTAATGCCTTCATAACTCCTTCTGTGACTTCCTCCATTCTGGTCTTATGTATCCATCCTTGTAAAGTGGCTTTGGCCACACTTTCATTGGCTGCCTCCTTTATGGCTCTCCAGATCCACTCAGTATCGAATGGTTTGAGCCATCTCGAAGGGCCCTCTGCCTCTGTTCGGCCTGGAGGCGATTGAGTGTTCTTTTGCAACTCATTAGGTTGTGCATCAACTGTTGGTATATTTGAATGTGTTTGTAATGGCATAAATGTAGCTACAGAAGTATTGTAAGTCCGATCAACGGCTGGGGTTTGCACACCATAAAGTCCTTTGGCTGATCCAGTGGAGTCGCTCACTGGTCGGCCCCATCTTTTACCTCCTTGACCTTCATCTCCTTCTCAAGTTCTTCATCTTTCTTTTGCAGTTCGGCAATCTGCATCCATATGTCTTCATGGGTTTGTTTCTTCTTTGGACAATCCTTTGCCATGTGTCCCTTTAGTCTGCAGTTAAAGCACTTGCCCTCTTTCTTCATTTGGTCGATGTCCATTGGCTTTCTGGTGCCAGTATATGTCATCTCAGTCTCAGTCTTCTGGCTGCCATAGATAGGTGCCAAAGGAGTTCCCAATGATTTCCCGGCAGTTTGCCCCAACTTGTTCAGGGTTGGTGGTGTCGATTTCTTGCTATAGTCCTGCAAGGTTGAAGCCTCCACTTTCTGTCTTTGTCATTCCTTGTACATCTCGATGATCCTTTCCTTCCATTCATTGTACCCAACTGGCATCAACAGTTTGATGCCTATTGCAGAGATCATCATGAGGTATGAGAAGGGAATCTCTTGCTTGAGGGCTTCTACCATCCAGCCATCATTTGCTATGTCTTCCCTAATTCTGGCCAGTTTGGCAAGCCGTTTCAGCTCGTCAAAGTAATCTGTTGCCACCTTATCTCCCATCTTATACTCCTTGATCTTTTGTTTGTGCACTTCCTGCACTACAGGGTCAATAAATTTGTTGTTCAACATTTTTTTAAACACTGGCCATGAGGGATACCGGTAGTGACCCCGAGTGGTGGATCAGAAGTTTGGGAAGATGAGGATCCACCATGTTTTGGTCTTTTCTTCCAAATAAGAGGTGGCGAATGCGACTTTGTTCATATCAGTCCCCAAGTACCTGATGTAGACCTCGAAGTATTGTTTACAGTCGACCAGAAATCGGTCGATGTCGTCAGAAATCCCTTTGAAGGGGCGGAGTTTTCGAAGGAGGTCAGAGCGACACTGAAGGACATTAGCGTTATTAGGGAGTGCACCCATCGGGTTAGGCCACCTGTCAAATGGTGGTTGATTCCATTCTCCCAGTGGGCTGGGGAATGAGTGTAGGGAGTGGTCATCAGTGACTGGGCTCCCTTTGGGTTCTTCAACTCAGACGATTACTCTGTCACATATGGTGAATCTGAGGCACACCGCCTCTGGATCGTCTTGTATTAGTTCCTTTCCTTTTCTGCTCAGACCAGCTTGATCTGATGGTAGCTGTCCCCCTAGTAGTCGGCTCCCTTTGCTGGCTCAGGGATTGAGGTACTCTGCTCTTGGTTGTCCTCGGGAGCGGCTGAGGCAGAGAGCTGTTGCGGCGGTCTGGTTGGAGACTGTAGTCATGCTTCATGCTGAAGGGGCCTGATACACAGCTCGAGATGGGGTGACAGGGGGTGTTCTCGGCATTGGTCAGATGAGTGTTGAGGAGTATGCCAGAGGTTGGCTTATAGGGTATTCGGGGTGCCGTTCAGTGTATAGTTGGGCTGCACAGTCTATTGCTGCCCATCTCAGGATTTCTACTCGTTGGTTAGGTTCTGAATGTAAATATAATTGTCCCATTTGTGACGTTAGCCAAGTGCTATCGCACCATAAGAAATTTATCCCCTGCAGGTAATACCCCTGATATTCCTGCTCCCTTTCCTTTTGTGCAAGCCTTCGTACTTCTTCTTCATCTGTTTCTTTGGACAAGTCATATGGAGGTCCCCAGGGTGGTCCACTGCTCTCAGTTTCTTCTTCCTCCTTGTCCTTGTCGCCCTCCTCGAGGAGGGAACCAACAGGCTGGATATAAAAACTCTCTGCGACCTCTTGCAGTATCATTGCTTCACTCTCCTGACTGGGTACTCAGTCCAGTGACTGGGGGTCTCTGATAGATGGAGGCAGGTCGAATCCCAATGTTGGATTGGTATCTGTTTCCTCCTGTTGCTCATGCCACCTCCACTCGCTCATGATAGTGGCAGACATTGTTTCTGTAGTCATCATGAATAAGCTGTTCGACCACCTGACTTCTGAGGAACCCCCTGAGGGCTCAGGCAGGGATGTGAGCATTCCCAGAGACTCGTAACCTGTAGTGTCTGAGGATGGACTTGTCACTTCCAAATACTAAGTTGGTGCTAGGGGTTCGGGAGAAGGGAGGATATTCTGGGGTTGGAGGCTTTGGGTATCATCTGGTTCAGGTTTCATCTGCCCAGTGCTCTGAGAACCCACTGCTTGGAGTGCTGGGTTCTTTGAAGGAGGGGGCCAGTGAGGGGTTGGTTTGTATGGGTGCAAGGATGCTGGCGATCTCTGGACATAGTCCATACCAGTTGCCCTTATTGATGATGGCAAACCAAGCTCTTTCAACTTCTCACTGCTTGTTTCTATGTTGCTCATTGTACTGCTCTGCCTTCCTCCTCTGCCACTCCTCTGACTCACCATGTACTGGCTGCGGCTCATCCTGCCTCCTTCGCTCCTCCTGTCATATGGTGTTGTCATAGTTAAAGAGGATGGTAAAGTCCCAGGTCGGGAAGTACCAGTGGACGGTTTCTTTTCATACTTGTCATCATCACTCTTCATCGCTTGGAGGGGGTCTCCCCATCCTCAAGCTGTTTCAGGTGGGAGGACGGAGGCTGTTAGGCTGGCTGCCAGAAGTTCAGGGGCTGGGTTGGCGAGCCATCTCAGGGGTATCAAGAGAGTCCCTGGTATAGTCAGCAATTCCAGGGGCTTGGGGGGCAGAATTGGAGGAGGGGGACTGGCAGAAGAAGTCTTCTGGGAGGTCCTCATCCTCATGGTTGGGGGGCGGTCCTGGTACGAATATACCGTGCCCTCCTGGGATATTACTGTCTGTGTTTCCAGGTCGGGGAGAGCATTGTCTTTCCGTTTCTTCTTTACCATTCCCTGGATGTGTGCCGCTAGGCCCGGCTTCTGGAGGCTGGTAGATCGTTCGTCAGGATTCTGGGATGTCATATAGGGGGAGGTCAGGGGTTACGTTTTGTAGAATTTCACAAATATGCAGAAATTCATTGTAATGTCTGAGAGCCCATGCAGTAATAGAATGGCATCCCCAGCACAGCTGGATGATCACCAAAAGTCCTATCAGTGTTCCGATGATGAAGAAAAGGAGTTCAAAGAACTCATAATCGAAATTCGAGTCAGTGGAGGTTGTGAGGGGCATTCGGTTTCTCAGCACAATTGGGCTTGAGAAAGGGAAGCTAGAAGCTTCAAGCTAATTGTTAGGCCCAAGCATCACATGGGCAGATACACATGATAAACAGGTGTTCCTTCGCACTTCAAGGAATCACCTGAGTCCACTTGTGGTATATCTGCGGAGTGTGATACAAGGTCAAATGCTCGACTTGAGGTAGAATGGTATATATAAACTTTAGCTCGAAGCTGGGGTATACCAGCGAGAGCATTGGTCTTAAATACTGTACAGTTGTTCCTAATTATATCACTACTTATTGTGTGTGTCTGTGTCCATAGTGCCCATTGTCCTTGAGCATCGTTACTGTACATAAAAGGGATGCTTGTATATTGTTGGGCTTGATTGTTATAGTGACTTGATAGGTGGGCTAGTTGTGCTGACTAAGCTCTCCCATGGTCTTGTGCCTTCTGACTAAGCATGAAATAGGGGTGAAAGGTAATGGAAAAAAGGAAAAATCATAACAGTAGTTGGTTTGAGGCAGTAAGACAATGGCTTGGTTTGAGATTGCTGAGACTTTTCTATACAGTATTTAAGTCAATAGTATACAGTGATATACTCTAGTCTTGAGTTAAGGTCTATATACCAACTCAACTCTTTGATCCTCAGTGCAACTACCCCTGTTTCCCTCACACTGATTCTATCTCACCTCTATTATCCTCATTATCTTACTTTATCATTAGTTCGTGTCAGACCCTGGCAGTTGCAGTGCTTAGGCATTTGTGTCATCACCTGACATCTGCCTCTTCCCTTTTGTTGTTAGTAATCACTCTTGCCTGATGAGGCTTTGCCTCTGTCCTCATCTTACAAAGGCTCATTCAAATACCTTTTTGGCTCTGCCATGTCTAACCAAATCCCATTGCACTACTATTGTATGATTCACTAGTGACTTTTTTGTTACCCTTCCACCTCTCCCTTGTATTACTACAATATGCTGTTCATGCATTACAATCTAATTGAGGGTGGTTCTTAAGGCTCTCATTGTATTCAGTTGCACTTATTTCTCAAGCAGGCAGCAGAGGCCCGAAATAGGATCACACATTTGCCAGTTTCAAAACTTTTTCGCCAAATTTTGGGCTTCATGACACACCCAGCTTCCACCAAATCTCCTAGGGTTTGTCCGGATGACTGACACAGCATCCCGTTTTGAGGACATTAGCTTCTAAAGTACTGCTGGGTAACCATGAAGAAGGCTGACAAGCATTGTCGCAGAGTTTGTGCGCCAAGTTGCGACACGGCATCATCCTGATTTTGTGCGGATAAAAAAACACGAAATTTGGCTGATTTTGTCCCGATGACAAAGCGCACTTTGCTCACAAATTTCATCCGGATGGCGACACGGCTTCACGGCTTTCCTACCTATTTTGGGGGGTTCCTCCCGAGAACTGGGAACTCGGACCAATGGTCCTCTCCAGCTGTCTTCACTTTTCATTGATTTCGCTCCTTTTCTTCGCCGCCATCCTTTCTTTCATTTCTTCTTTTGCGACGCAGGACCCGTCGACAGCTGAGCTTTTTTATCCTTCTTGAAGCCTTCTCCTCCAGTCATTTTCCAATACGACATTCAGAAAACGGTCAATCATTATTTACAATTTGAAGAGGTGTTGCAGTCTTTGGACGACATTTGCTTTGCTGGTGGTCACGTATATATGGGCGTTGTAAATCCTATTGTCCAAGATGTTAGCAAACACCCTGACCAGTAAGTAGTAATTGTCTACGCCGGATGTAAGATGCTGACCCGCATCACAGCCGTCAGGTAGCTACCTTCTTCCTAGGATGGGTCTTCATCACTGCTATCAATAATATGGCGACGTCGACCTTTCTACAGAACGTTGCTGCGCGTATTTTCTCCCGCTCTCATCGATCCTCACAGAAAGACAATCCGGAGATTGACGATGCCTCGGGGTTACTATTCAACCTGACGAGCGACTGTCCCGTCCTTCTATTCTTACTGTCATTGTTTTTTATGTCAGCCAGCATTGCCTGTTTTACATCTCTACTTTCTTTTCATTCTGAGACGGGAGCTCTTTGTTGTAAGCTTGTACTTGGCACGGAATACAATACATATGAAACTGATGGATGGTTGTTGCAGCATTTGTCGCGGCCTGGGGTGGATTATCTGTCCTGTTCGCGCGTGTAGTTGCATTATTCCTTCTTTTGTTTGCGCTCCGTCGATTGGGGATCAAGCGATTGGAGACTTTCATCTACCTTGTGTGGATACTCTGTGGATTAGGTGTGTGTACAAACTATTTCTTATTTTTTTTGCATTCTTCATTGATGTAAACAGGACTCGACTTTGTAAATTATGCTGTTGGCACGGGCACACTAACGTATGTCGTTCACACCTGTATGTTGCTGTGGTTCATTTTGACCCGTTGACATCAGTGAAGATGATCACCTCGAGATATTCCTGTGTTATAGGAAACAGTAAGTGCTTCCATCGTCGTCATCACGGAGAGGTAAATCAATGTGACAGTGTTCTTCCAACTTCCTTGGCTGCCTCATCGGTGTTCTCATTGCTGGAGATTTATGTCGTTGGCCGAACCCTGGTGTTGACGCACTCACAAAGAAGAAGGGAGTGGCTGCAGATCGTTCAGGCATGCTCTCTAATGGTTTTTGATCTCCTGACAATCGTGCCTTCGGCGATTTTCATTGGTGTTTTGGGGGAATTCATTCCTTTCAGTGTCGGCTCAGTCCTTATACTTGGCAAGTCCCTCTAGTATGTTATTATGGTAAAACTAAATTGCTTTTAGTGTGTTTCAATGGGCGTAGTCTGTCAACAGAGACATCATCAGCCTTTGACTCGGTAACCCCATCCTCAGAATTTTCAGAGGATCTGCCCTTTGAAAAGCATGATGATCGACAGATGATCCCTATGCCTCCACGTATGTCTAGATTTCCCCTGGGACCAATCACTCGGCCGTTGTCTCCGATTGCATCCCTGCCGATGCATCCGTATTCAGCACAATGCTTGGACGACCCCAGGATGGTTGGAGAGAGATGGTTGAATGGTTACGACACTGTGCGTAGCAGTCGAAGTGTCGATACGAGAACAGCGAGAAGCATTGACGAAGCTGTTTTCCAAGTTGCACAGCGTAGCCGACCTTTGCCAATTTACTGTGAAGCGAAGGGATCACCACTGTCGGGTCCACAGACATCATCGATCTCGAGCTCCAGCAGGTTCATGGGGCTATCAATGGACAACCACATTGCTCCCCTTGCCCGTCCACGTCTGATAGTCGTACCATCAAACATGTCTGTGGATCTGGATGTGAAGCCTGACACACCGGTGTCAGGAATGCGAGATTCCGTAGCCTATGACCCGCTTTTAAAGTCACGGTTTTCGGTGTCTACAGCTTCTATGTCGCTGGTGACGACGTCGAGCTTGCTTTTATCATCCGATATCCGGAGGCATTTGACTGGAAGTTCTGTGGGGTCAAATGGGTCTGAATCTGTGAAAGCACCCTCGATGCTAGAACGTTCGATGCAGTTTCAGGGAGCTGGGCATTTGAATATAACTCAGAGTCGGCGGTCTATGCTTTCTAATGAAAGCAGGACTTGTTTTAATAGCAGTCCCCAGGCTTTGCCTTGGCCGGAGAAGGAAACGAGACCGGGAGTATAACTTGATTTATGTCGCGGAATGGGATACAGTTATTTTAATCTGGAGTTAGTAGTTTAGTGTTCTCCATACTTGTTGGCGAAACGAATTCAGCTGTAACGACCGAGTCCTGCGGATAGCAGTGGAAAGACATTCAACAAGAACAAACAGACTGCTTGCCTTTACGCTACGATGGCGTCGAGTGCTCTGCTTCAGCAGATCCAGGCAGGAAAGAAGCTGAAGAAGGCAGAAATGAATGACCGCAGTGCACCAGCGCTGGATACGCCCAAGGGAGGAGGCGGTGGAGGAAGAGGAGCTATTTCGACAGGGAACTCTGGGTCGCCATCGCCAATGGGAGGAGGAGCGCCTCAGTTGGCGGGACTGTTTGCTGGGGGGATGCCAAAGCTGAAGCCGGCTGGACAGAACAGTCCCGCGAAGGCGCCGTCATTGGGTAAGCCGCCGTCCATTCCAAAAAGAGATGTCCTTAGTCCAGTGCCGCCTCCACGCCCCGTACCAGTCCCCGCCACTCCTAAACCACCCGCACGACCAACTCCGACTTTACCCGCGAGGTCAGTCCCCACGCCTCCCCGCAGAGTACCCTCCCCACCGTCGAGTGCACCGCCCCCACCCCGTCGGGTGCCGTCTCCACCAACGAGCACCCGCCCGCCTCCTCGCCTCCCACCAGCCACTCCTTCCCCTGCTCCTCCAGCACGTCCAACTCCTTCACTCCCGCCTCGCATGGCGTCGCCATCTGCCCGCCCACTTTCTATTGCCCGCCCACCGCCTGCTATTCCACCTAGAGGCAGCTCACAGCTCGCCCAGTCTCCCACCAGACACGTCCCCGTTCCACCGACTCTTCCTGGTCGTGCACCGCCTCCACCGCCTCCCCGGCCATCGAGTACCGGGCCGCCCACCACGTTCGGACGCGTCGCACCTCCGCCTCCGTCAAGGAGACCCCCGCCAGCAGTCGGACACACTCCACCAACACGCGTCCGTGCCGTGTCTGAAGCTGTGCACCAGCCGCCGACCCTGCCACCGTCACGTCCTGCTAGTCTAGTGCCCCTTGCAACTAGGGTAAGGACCACGTCAGCCGGTGGCGCACCATCCGGCGGACTCACTAATGGGTCAACGCTGACAACAAGAAAAAGTAGGTGATCTTTCATGAATGATGTCTGTAGCGTGTCCTCATCATTCATCGCAGTACCCTCTCCTCCCGCCAGTGCTGGATCCCATACGTTCCCTATCCACGACTTTCCACCGCCTCGTCCCTTCCAGCCGTCTGTGAAACAGTATGTGACTGGTAGACAAAAAGGCTGTGGCTTTGACTTGACTACTTTGTAACTGCATGTTTGAATAGTAATTGTTTGCATCAATAATGTGATTCAGCGGCGGACTCTCGGAGTTTTCTTTTTGATAGATCGTTCGCTGACTTTTCCAAGAATGGAAGCTGATAAAGATGACACGTCAGTCCGCACTACGTCGGTAATCCCTATAAAAGCTCCTTCATTCTCGATCACCACATTCATACCTTCCTACCATGCGCTACTCTTTTCTTTCCCCAGCGCTAGCACTCGTCTTTGCCTCGTCCGTCTTTGCTGACGCCGACGCTGCCCCTTCTAACGTCCTCAGCCTTACCGCCGCTGACTTTGACGATATCGTCAACCCCGAGCCCCTCACTCTTGTAGAGTTCTTTGCTCCATGGTACGTGTCTTTTACTCCTCTTTGGTCTCTTACCAATACTCTCCAAAGGTGTGGACACTGCAAAGCTCTGGCTCCTCATTATGAAGAGGCTGCCACGGAACTTAAAGAGAAAAATATCAAGCTCGCCAAAGTCGACTGCGTGGACCAGGCTGATCTCTGTCAAGCAAACGGTATTGGTGGCTATCCGTGAGTACAATATACACTTACCGTCATGCAATCTAACCGTTGCTCAGCACACTGCGAGTATACAAAAACGGCCAATACGCCGACTACAATGGCCCTCGCAAGGCTGATGGCATCGTCGCCTACATGATCAAGTGAGAGCCCTGAATCACTCATTCTTTGTCCGCCGACTCTTCTCCAGACAGTCCCTTCCCGCCGTCTCCACCGTCACTGCCGAAAACCACGTTGAATTCCAGTCTGCCGACAAAGTTGTCGCTATCGCCTATGTCTCAGATACATCAGACTCTCTGGCCGTCGAGTTCGCCAAGACTGCAGACGCCCACCGCGATGACTACCTCTTTGGCCAATCCTCTGACCCACAAGTACTCGCCTCCCTCGGTGTATCTGCCCCCGCCCTCTTCGTCTACCGCTCTTTTGACGCCCCCAGTGTCGAATTCCCTTACCCAATCGCCTCCGCCACATCCAAAGACATTGCAGAATGGCTCGAAGAACTCGCCATCCCCATCATCGACGAAGTCAACGGGGACAACTACGCCGTTTACGCTCAAAGCCAAAAACCCCTTGCATACCTGTTCCTCGATCCCTCCGACGAAGGAAAGGATGCCAAACTCGCAGAAATCAGACCAGTCGCTGAAAAGTTCAAGTCCAAGGTCAACTTCGTTTGGATTGACGCTGTCAAGTTCGGTGACCACGCCAAGGCTCTTAACCTCCAAGAGGCTAAGTGGCCTAGCTTTGTTGTGCAAAACCTGAAGCAGCAGCTCAAGTACCCATACGACCAGAGCAAGGAGGTCACCGCTGCTGCTGTTGAGGAATGGGTCCAGCAGTACCTTGAGGACAAGCTTACTCCCGAACTTAAGAGCCAGCCTATTCCCGAGTCTCAAGACGAGAGTGTCTTCACTCTCGTCGGAAAGCAGTTTGATGAAGTCGTTTTTGATGACAGCAAGGATGTCTTCGTTGAATTCTATGCCACATGGTACTTTTTTTTTCCATTCATCAGTCTTGCTCTATTAATACCACTCGCCAAGGTGCGGACACTGCAAACGCCTCAAGCCCACTTGGGACAACCTCGGTGACCACTTTGCGGCTCAAAAGGACAAGATCTTGATGTATGCCGTCTCTTACCCTCGTTTACCCCGACTGACTTTCTGCAGTGCCAAGATGGAAGCGACCGAAAATGACCTCCCCCCCTCGGTTCCCTTCCGTGTCCAAGGCTTCCCAACCCTCAAATTCAAGCCCGCTGGTAGTCGCGAGTGGCTTGACTATGAAGGTGACCGAGGTTTCGACAGCCTCGTAGCTTACGTTACCGAGCATGCCAACAACAACTTGACCAAGGTTGTCGTTCCTGAGGAGGAGCCTGCTCAAGTACCCCTTGGAGACGCTTCCGAAAACATGTTGACGACGACGCCATCGGAGCATGACGAGCTGTAATGTAATCTATCTTGTAAATGTATAAGCCATGACCGCAGGTACAGTTGTACGGACTCCAAATTAGTTACCGGTTCTAGCAATTTTCACCGTATACACAGCCACACATCTTAGTGACTTACCGCCTGCTAAGATGTGAGTACCTTATACCTAATTATACTGTATGTTACTAATTCGCAGTAGATACATTTACCTTCTTGCTCCAGGCCAATCCTTGCTGCTCTCGTGTCGCTGCAAAGTCTTGCTGCTGTGTCCTCCCAGGTTCCCCGGTCCACTGCTCAACAGTAAAATACCCCTGCACACAAATTAATTGGTCATGCTCAGACATATATCTATTCCCAACAATGTCTAGGGTTTGTGGGTTCCAAGATCTTTTTTGGTGCGGTAATATTCTGAGAAGGAGAGTCTGACAGCAAGGAAGCGGCAATCCAAGTCTGGGTGCACCTGTAGTTGATGCACAAGTGCTTGGGCCTTTTCAGAAAACTGGGCGCCATATTCTTTCACTGGATTGAGCTGTGTTGGAAGTTCGCCGCTTGTTGTCCCTCGTCCGGTGTATACGCCCTAAAATAGGTAAGTAGTGTTTCACTAAATACAGTTCATACATACGCGTTCATTATCCAGCTCCTTGTCCCGCCAAACAGACTCTGATAAGCAGTAATTGTAAAAGTTGTCCTACGAACATTAGCACAGGTGAAGGGAAAATATAAGAACAAAGGCTCACCGAAGCTTCCCTGAACTGTAATATTATCGAAAATAATTCTCGAACTTGTATAAGTAGATTCTCCTGCAAATAGCTCAATAGTGAGGCAAAGGAAAAAAGTTCATCGTACACACCTCTCTTCCCGCCTTGGGACTCAGCAGCAGCACTTTCTTCACCATCCGATCCAAATATGCCCGGTGCGCGTTAATCATCGTGTCCAAGTCACCCTCCTTCTTGTTCAAAAACTCGACCAGCATCTTCCAAGAACACTCAATCACCTCCAAATGGCAATATGCTTGCATTTGCCGTATGAAATGTATCATCTCGGCGTTGACGATACGGATCTGGTGCCATTGGAACTCCAAATCTAACACGTCTCAAAAGAAGATGTCGACGAAGAAAGACGTGAACGTACCAGGAACCCGTAAAAACGACCGTGTGTCTCCCGCCACCCTCATCCATCCCTGACCCATTGCGCCCTCGATCCTCTTCATCTGCCACAGATGGCTGAATAGCTTCAAATACTTGATCATCGAATCGGGGTCGATCACCGTGTCGATGGGCGCATCGACTTTGTATTCAAGCGTAAAGACGTCCCAGCCGATCTCACCGTGGGTATACTCGAGCATGCGAGAATCGAGCCGGCGTAGGACGTGGGCGGGGTCATTTTGAGCGTTGGACGACCGGATGGCGGTTTCGAGGGTGGCGGTTAGATTGTGCCGGAAAAGGGTGTTGGCTTGGCGGGTTAAGCTGGGGCTGTGGGAGGGGAATGTTAGCAGGAGACAGATATATCAGATAGACTTGCCCAAGAGCCTCCATGAGTTGGTCAGCAAAGTCACCATGACCGAGGAGGAGATAGTTTTGGAGCGCTTTGAGGTGGTCGAGAAGCTTGAACTTGTCGATGAAGACCTCGAATAGACGACCACTCGCGACTTGGTAAGCGGTATCTATTGAACGTTCTAATCCATTTATATCGCTGTACTTCAGAGCTGCCAACGATCAATTACATACAAGCATATAGGCATGCAAGACGGACTTACTCCCACCACTGTCACTCATTTTCTCTCGGGTAGCAACCCAGTCGCTATCATGACAACTATATCGAATAAAGTTCAGACTTTTACCAGTCGACAAAATCTGGACTGCGTAAATAGGTGCATATTCAAAGCAAACAGAGCAGACCTTTCTTCCAAAAGCCTCGCCTACAAACATGGGCAACATGTCCTCTTGAAATTGATATTTCGATTGCCATAGTTGAAGCCCGTTTTCCATCTTGTCGCTGGCATCCTCATTGTCCATGAGCAGACTCCCAAGACCTCCATCACCTGTAGGTTGTCCAAATCCCCCTGACAGAGAGGAGGGATGCGTGTACTGAACGTGTTTTAGAGACGGATCCATAGCAACGAAGAACTCGTTGAAAGGATCATATAACTCTCCAGAGAAGAGCCATTTATGAAGAGTAGCAAAAAAAGGTTTGGACACCTATTGACAAAGAAAATGAGGACCGACTAGTGAGCAACATGGAAATAGTCAAACCTCTTCAAGAAGTTGATCAGTAAATTTTCGCACGAAGGGGTCACCATTATTAGTGTAGCTATGGATAAGATTCACTAATGCGCCTCCGTGTGCATCTGAAGATGTTGTTAAAAATGTCCACTCTAGATAACGGGCAAAATACCTCGCGCCCCTTCGACGCATACGCTCATCATCCTCATCCTAAGTCGCCAATCATTTATCCATACATCCAAACGCCTCAACGTCAGGCCTGTCTCTTCCTGCCGGATGCTGAGGTTCTCCTCCGATTCATCCGTCGGGTGCTTCGGTGGGGCAGGCATCTGTGACTCCAAGACAGCGATGAGACGATAGTACTCAGTAAGCTGGACTTGCAAGTGATGACACAGACTCTGCTCAATCATCCCAACAGCTGGGGCGCCCTCCCGTTCTCGAATAAAGGTCTCCACGCGCGTGTAGAGATACCCAACCTCTGACAGTCTATGAATGAGCGTCTTGACCGGTTCAGATATCATGTATTTCTGTTCTTCTGTTAGCAGAGACGAAAATAGGAGGATGAGCACACACCGAGTCCTCCACAAACACGAGTTTATTCTCAAAGTCATCCTGCAATGAAAACCGGACATATTTGCCCGAGATGCCCTGCAATAGATAGAGGGTATCGCGGAGTAGCAAGTGTTCAGGAATAATAGCACGGCCTGAGAGCATGAGGGCAGCTTTGGGGTAGAGATCCAATTATCTTCACCTGTCTTTGTTCGGTACTCTCTCAATATATCGGCTTTTGTTCTACTCTTGGCACATCGGGCATCGACCGGTGGATCTACTGTGGTTGATGAGGTGGTTGGTTGCGAGGGCGGCGGCGGTACTAGTGATGGAAGTAGGGAAGGCGCTGAAGCCTGCGATGCTGATGATGATGCGAGAGAGTACAGGAAGAGAATGGACGCGTGTTTTCTTGATAGCACGGGCTGAAATTAAACATCAGTGAATCCGTGTCATCAGCAAAGAAAGTACGAGCCTGGTCTAGTAGTCGGGATAAGAGATTGGTAAATTTGAGGTATGCGCTGCCTGACGGAGACGAATGAAGTACTTGAAGCTGCTCAGAGAGACATATACCCTACAACTGAGTGACACGTACACTGTCGTTTAACCGAGTCTGCAAGATGCACTAGATCTGGGTCATGGTTCTGGCCTATATGGCTGCAGTTGCTCTGGGTTCAGTGGCAAATCAGATCCAGCGGCCACCTACCTGTTCAGTATATCCTGACAATGCAAAACGAGCTCGTCCTTGAGGTGTTCGTCATTTCTCGTAGGAGAGACAAGAGAGAGGACAAGAGATTCCAACGAGGAAAGGGGAGACATGGCTGCGCGACGCGTTCAAAGTGTTTGGTACTATTTCCATGCAAATACTCCGTTCCATCGGTTGCAGCCTAGTATATGTATTCGTATACATTTCAACGCATCGTACATTACTCCCAATATGCCTCCATTTCAATCATGTTGTAATTTATCAAGTGGGCATCAACATTTACAGTTTAACCTCCTTCAGGCCATCTTTCCAGAACGTGAAGTAGGCTGCGCATAGTCAGTCAAATGAGCATTCATATCATTGTATGGAAACGTACGGGTAACACCGTCTTCCTGCATAAGACAGTCAGTACGAGTCAAAAGTGTCAGAAGCTACACTTACGCGGTAGTTGAGGAGAGCAACCATTCCATCAGCGTTCATCGTCTCGCCAGTGTACTTCCGACGACCATTAGCGGCACAAAAGACCGGAGCACAAAAACTTACGAATTCAAAGTCCTTGAAGTTGGCAACGATCTTTTTGGCATATGCCTGAGCTCCCTTCTCGAACGCCTCGACACGGTCGGGGTTTGTCTCAGCGAGTTTGGTCTTGATACTTTTCATGTATCCCTAACGAAGAGTGAGATACTTCTGTCCATACCAAACACAATCATAGATACCTTCAAGTATGACAGGTAAGACTTCTTGTCAAAAGCGGTCGACTGAAGACGGAAGGAGTGGACAACATTGTTGACCTGTGTCGCTCCATCCTCAACAGCATCGTCTTGCTCCTCAGCAGAGGGATTGGCACCTATGCACATCCGGTAAGCGCACGAAAATTCCAGTGTCTGTTGATACACACCGATATCGACATCGGCACCGGCCTTGATAGTGATGGTTTGGCAGTCCACCTCGAAGACGATATCGTCGACGGGTTTCCTATATTTTACATAAATCAGTGAACTATCGCACATAGAGGGTAATTCAACTTGCAAGGGAAACGCATCGGAGAACATTTCATCCCCACTGATAACGTCTTCGTACAACAACATGATGTTTTAATTCACAGGGATGTACAGGGAGCAGAAAGGCAGGAGGAGAGAAGGAAAGTAAGAAAAAGTGATGAAATCAGCTGCAATCGATCTTGACGGCAAGTCCCGGCATTAGCTTTTATCTGTGACAAAATTTTCAGTGTGACGGTGTGATAACTTGTGGACTCTTATGGACTACCAGCCCGTCGTCGTAAAATCACACGCCCGGCCGTCGTCTACCAAACACAGCCCAGAGTCCCGGTATTGGCGACAGTTTAAATACCCTGTTTTTGTCAAGGAATATGCCCCCGTCACTTCTGTCCATTTCTCTCCTTCAAAGCCTCATCGATATGCAGTCACCGCTGCAACTCGCGTCCAGATATATGCTCCGCGCACCCAAAAGGTCACCAAGACAATAGCACGGTTTAAAGACGTGGCACGTAGCGGCGCAATACGTACAGATGGCAAATTGGTCGTAGCAGGAGATGATACTGGTCTAATTCAAGTGTGTGCTGTTTCCGTCTACTATTCTATTTTCTCACTACGACTCCCAAGGTTTTTGACATAAATTCGCGAGCCATCCTGAGAACTCTAGACTCCCACAAACAACCCGTATATGTGACAAAATTCTCTACCTTGACTCCTACCCAAATTCTCTCTTGCTCCGATGATACCACGGCCAAGTTGTGGGACGTCCCCTCCCAAACAAGTATATCCACCTTCACGTCCCACACGGACTACGTACGGACAGGGCAAGTCTCATCATCGAATCCTAACATTATCTTAACCGGGTCTTACGATGGAACTGTGCGCATGTTTGACGCCCGTTCCGGCCATTGCGAGATGATAATGAGCCGAAGCAATAGCGGGGAGAAGTCTCCAGTAGAGCAGGTGTTGATGTTTCCCTCCGGTACTGTCGCTATCTCTTCCAGTGGCCCTATTATTCGCTCCTGGGATATTGTCGCTGGAGGGCGATGTACGCGAGCGTTGTCAAATCATCAAAAGACTATCACATCCTTAACCTTCAATGCGTCTGCTAGCCGTCTTCTAACAGGAGGTCTCGATCAGATGGTGAAAGTTTACGATGTGAGCACGTATAAAGTTGTGCATACTATGCGATATCCAGCTCCCATTCTCTGCCTCGCTGTGTCGGTTCGTCTTTTCGTCTTTTCGTTATTCCTTGTACTTCACGTCTGTGACTTTTAGCCAGACGAAAGCCATATAGCTGCCGGCATGAGTGACGGAACTCTGTCAGTACGTCGAAGACAGCAAAAAGCTTCAGAAACGTTGGACAGTGCACCATTTTCTGCATCGAATGTTCAGTCAGGGGCATTTGAGTCATTCCTCGGAATGTCTAGCTCGGGAATAGGTCAAGGGCAGACCAAAAACAAGTTCAAGTCCAGACCCATTGGAGACACCAATGAATTCCGAATAGAAAGCAGGCGTACTCAGCATCTGAAAGATTACGATCGGTTTTTAAAGAGCTTCAAGTATTCTTCTGCCCTTGATTCAGTCCTCTGCAAGGTTAATCTTGTCAAGTGTTGTTGCGGGTGCATTGTTTAACTATGAGGGACAGAATGTTCCTCCAGCGACAACTTTTGCGCTGATACAGGAACTTATTCATCGCGACGGCCTTCGCACTGCACTAGCTGGGCGTGATGATGTCCTTCTAGAACCAATCCTACGTTTATTAGTCAAGTATGTCACTGACCCTCGTTTCGGAGAGATGGCGTGCGACGTTGCTAGCATGGTCATAGGTACGGAGATTCCTTTCCATGGCTTACGAAATAACTAAATCGCACTGGCAGAGATGTACGCCTCCGTTATAGGACAATCACTTCTGATCGACTCTCTATTCCTGCAATTGCGGAAGAAAATCTCGATGGAACTACGATTTCAAAGGGAATTGCTGAAAACCAAGGGCGCTTTGGATATGGTATTCTCACTTACAGCATTAGACTCCAGATGAATTGGGTTCCCTAGCACCGGCCGCCTATCTTTTATACATCCTACGTAGTAGAGGCGTTGGAATCCAGAGCACCGATGAGACCCTCCAAGATTTCTTTCCGTGAAGGTCCCTGATCTTCATCGGATTCCCCTTGTCCGTTGTCAACGTTATCGTGGTACAACCGTAGAGTCTCTACGATATTTTCCAGACCCTGGTTCTTCCGCGCCAACATCTGTAGTGCATGTGTTCGAATCTGTTTATGCAATGGTTGTGGATAAGCCTAAGACAGTCCATTCTTCGGTAACGACTGTACACTCACCCCATCATCTTCCATGACTATCCATGCCAAAATGTAATCCACAATTTGTAGGGTATAGAACCCGCCGTTCAAGCGTCGCAAGTACAGCGAGTCCTCATCCATGTCATTATCCGGCGATGCCTACTACGGAAATCAGACGAGCGTTCAGCGATACAAAATGCAAGCGAACGCACCTTATCGGCAGCGATCTCTGTGTCTGTTTTTTGGAGCCTGGCCTTGGCTGAGTCCCTGATATCTAAGAGCTTGTCTACCTTTTCGTAATTGTTTTCAACAAACTTGGTCAATAATCGCATCCGCTCAGTAGAATCGGAGGGAATATTGGAAAAGAGCGATGCCACTATGCTGAGCGTGTGCGACGTATCCTCCGATGCCGGCGTTTCGCTAGACTTTTGTTTTTTGTTCATCTGTGGGGTTTAGGTTGGAAGATAAGCTGAAAGAGGAGGGATCATTTCACGAACATTCCCCATGAAAACCGAAAAGAGCGACTTGAGTCCCAAAGCTTCAATAAATGCCTCACAAAGGGCCACGCCAGAAGGACCAGACATTGCGTAGTCCAGTGTTTTGATGGACCGCGACCGCGACTGCAGTTTTTCTCTAGAAAGATAGATATGTTAGCCATAGAAGTGCCAAACTCAAGTATACGAACTTCATCATCAAAATCATGAGATCGTGTCCTTCAGCAGCCAGGAACAGTTTCTTTATTTCAGACTCATTTAAAGCAGAACATAGAGCATCAAAGACGTTCTCCATGAACTCTGCTTCGTCAGCATTAGCCGGGTCACGCTTTCGATATTGCTAGAACAGCGATGTTAAATGATGCAGAAAATGACCAAGGGATGATGAACATACGGAGAGGACCTTGAGAATGGTTTCAACACCATCATGTTTACCCAACTGCAACCGATTTTCTATACTATCTTGAAGGAGAATCGAAAGGATTTCTGCAGCATATCCGCGATTTTCATCGAAGCTTTTTGCCTGTACGCGGTCAAGTAACCATGGAAGGAGATTAGTTTTTGATACCAGCTGCGTGGAAAGAGCAGGATCAAAACCCAGGGTGTTTTCGAAGATGCCTGGGCTTCATGAGCCAATCAATTACAAAGGCGCAGCGAAGTGACCATTTACCCAGTAGGTGGAAGACACCCTGCCGGTCAGATTCTTCTGTTTCGTTAAATCGTTTCAGGTTTTCAACTAGCAATTCTAATATAGAATTTTCCAACTTGAAGGATGTGAGCTCGGAAGAAAGAGGAACAAACATGAACGGCGTACCAGGCCTTCTATCAAAAGCTTAAGGGCCTCCGCTGTATCCTCTTCATCATCATTGCCTTCATCACCCACATCCTCATCGGTGAGTTCATGGAACACCTCGACAACATCAATTACGATGTCAACATTCTCGTGACTCAAAAGGCCGACCAGAAGGGCCACCGCTCCGGACTTGACAATTTCAGGATATGATAAAACTGGGAGCTGTGCCAAAGGCAGCAGAGATTTTATAGCACTATCCAAATCAGCCTCTGAATCAATAAACCTGTATGGTGCATTAGCAGTCAAGATTGCGGTTCATACAGAGTTGGAGCAACAAACTTTGTGGGATCGTCAGGGTACTTTGAACGCTGGTCTTGGTTTTTGTTTACAGCGCGCTCAAACTGAAGCAGTATTCTTCGGATACCTGATATTGAAAGTTGCGATGGCTGCACGTAAATGAGATTTTGAAGACAGACAATGCCTTTAGGACACACCTCATCCTGCTTGTTTGCATTATCGAATATGTTCAAAATCTCCTTCTGCTCGGAGGTTAGACCGCCACCGAAGAACCGTCCTTCGTCGTCCTCTTCGACAAAATAATCTGCATCTCCGCCGGGAGCAAAGTTGCGCGGGTTTTTGATGTCTTCGTCAGCCTCCTCAATGGTCACGGCGCGACTCTTTCCTTTTACTTGGGACGAGCCGCTCTGTGGTGAATATCCCGAGCCAGAAGGAGAACTCGCGTCCATCTTTATCTTCTTCAACACTTCAGGTGTTGGATTGTCGGGCAATTTCCGTTTTCCGCCCCCAACTGGCAACTTGGGAGTCTAGCAGCAGTCAGCTACAGAAGGATTACAGGTGCTGAGGACCAATACCTTGAACAACCTGTCGATATCCATGATGTTGCCGAATTAAACGCGACTGCAGGTAGCTAAACTAAGGTGAATACTATGTACGTCGGACCTGTGACGCGTGAATTGAACGTGAGAAATTCAACAAATTTGTCGCTCTGACCCCACCGCCACTATCTCTCCTCTCTCTTTTCATCCAAGAATGAGTTACAATAATGTTCGTGGGCCAACGTCCGCCCTGACTGAATTCCTCAGGGTAAGAGGAGAGTCTCGCGTTTATTTCCAAGGTGTTCACAGTCACTGCAGGATTCCGGCATCACTGCCACAACAATTGCACGGCGCTCAGCGACCGCGAATCGACCAGCAGCTGGACCGAGTAACACACTGGAAGAAGCAGATAATGTCGACGCCAATCAAGAAGATGGGGTTCAGGCCGCGCGTCGACGAACTAGGAGCAGTAATGTGAGCTACCTCGTTTATTTTCAAGGCAGTATCATCTATAGCTCTCTGTAGAGGAGATCAGGATACGTTTCTGACGAATTAGACGACCCTGCGTCCCCCACGAAGAAACGAAAGTTGAGCAGATCGGCAGAAGCCAAGATGAAGAAGAAACAAGGGGAAAAGTCCAAGAAAGATGACAAGGATGACGAAGATGAAGACGAAGACGCGTATACTGCTCTATCAAGGTCTATGTGGTCGATAGCTGGTTCCCCGTCAAAACCTCCTGTAGGAAACTTTGATACCTGTGCAAAGTGCCAAAAACAGTTTACTGTGGTATGAATCTTCAATTATTTCACGTCCATTCTACAATTCTAACCGTTACATAGTCCAAATACACTGTAGCCGCAGATCCTGGCCCTGGATATCTCTGCCATCCATGTGCCAAGTCTTCTGGGAACGATCCATTCAAGAAGCCCACAGTGCCCAAAAAATGCAAACCAACCGTGACGAAACGGGTCGTGAATTCTGAAGAGCGTCTCTTTCCTTCCCTTGCCTCTCTATGCATTCAGGTGATGACGTGCCCGTGTCTTCAGTAAATACGACTCATTTCCATATAGATAATATCGAGGTACATCGATGATATCGAAGCCCTTGGCGATATTGGTACCCTCAATATGGAAGCTATATCCAAGGCCATCTCAAAGAATCGTAGCCTGTCAGTCGGTTCGTTTCTATAATGTTCATCCAAGCTAACCCCTAACAGGACATCCGCAAATGCGCATCTGTTTTATGGACCAGAGATCACAGTTCTGACACTTTATGACGCTACAAGTATGTGGGACAGCTGCCACTTATCTAATACAAACTTACACGTTGTCAGAGTTAACGCCCGACGCCTTATCAACTTTGGCTCATTTTAATCCTAATTTAACAACATTGCGCCTCGATTTCTGTGGCCTCCTATCAGACGAAGTCATGTCTGTATGGTCGAAATCTCTTCCGAATTTGGTGTCTCTTCAATTGCTTGGTCCCTTCCTTGTCCGGCCTCCCGCCTGGATTAATTTCTTTGAATCTCACCCTCAGCTTGAATGTTTCAAGATAACGCAGAGCCCAAGGTTCGATGTCAAGTGTATCGAAACATTGATCACTACATCGCAGAAGACGTTACGCGCTTTGGGGCTAAAGGAAATTGGCAAGATATCTGACGAGTTCCTCAATTGTATCAAGCTGCTCGAAGGGCAATTGACGTACCTGGACATATCTGAACCAAGCGAGTCTTGCAGTGAAGTAGCAATCATAGATATGCTCTCCACTGTAGCATCCACCTTAACCCACCTAGACCTCTCAAATCACACAGAAGTCTCCGACAAAGTTCTACAACAGGGGTTGCAAGCTTACTCCAATGCCATCACTTCACTTGGTCTAAGAAATCTCCCCGAACTCACCGATGCTGGGGTAGCTAATTTCTTTAATTCCTGGACGTCCAATCCACCCTTGACTTTCCTCGATATTTCCCGCATCCATCTTCTAAACAAGGGGGCCCTTCTTGCCATCCTGGCCCACTCCGGATCCAGCCTTCAGGAGTTGAATATCAATGGATGGCGAGACATTGATAACGAGGCCTTAGAAGAGATTGGGAAGCAAGCACGAGATTTGAAAAAAGTCGACTTGGGATTCTGTAGAGGCGTTGACGATTTTACTGTCAAAAGTATCATCGAAGGTAACAAAGGAGGGCTTCAGGAAGTCAAAGTGTGGGGTTGCAACAGAGTCGAAGGCAAGTGGACTGTCAGTGGGAAACAAAGACACATTAGGATATATGGCATTGAAAGTCATTAGATGTCATCTGTAGCCATGGTAGGGAGGGTCATCTTGAGATGGACGCAAGAATGTAGCAGTGCAACTGTACTTATCATTTTCTTGAAGGAATTCAGGGTATCCCTAACTTCACGTCAGATGTACTAGACAGATCGGTCTTATTCTGATACAAGCTATGACCTAGGACTACAAAAAAACACGAAAGTTAAAGCGTGCTATGCTATATATATCTGCTGCGTTTAAGATACCTGTCGTCTAGCTGGACCCTGGAACAGGCCCTCGAATCTGGTTTACTAATGTCTCCCAATAGTTCCACTCGTTACCATCAATACCAGCCAGAAGGCGAGGATCTGGTGCTCCAACCAACGTCGATGTTGTCCCCGCCCAGCCAGCGAAGTTTCCGGGGAGTCCTCCCCAAGACGAGGCGGAGCTAGATCCCTCCAACGGCGCACTGATTGCATTACACCAGTGGTCTAACAACGACTGCGCGGTAGAGTCCTCTTCACCGTTGGGACTACCAGATGCTGTCGGCGAATTTTCGAAGTCTCCCGAAGCGCTCTGCAGTCTTTGGAACGTTGGAGATTGATTTATATGTGTCGCATATGGACTTCGTGGCGAGGAGGCAGGGGGCAAGTTCAACAGAGATGGGAATGGAGGAGGATGTGGCGTAGAAGCCTGCTGTAGACCTAGTAAGAGGTGTGCAGGATCGTTCTGTGGGAGAGATCCCATAGCATTAGGCAGAGTCCGTTGAGATGCTTTATTCTTCAAAAATTCTATGGTCTTCAGCTCCCGTCGGGTTGTTTCATCCATATCCCGTATGCCTTCATGCTCCTTCATGAACGAATCAAGGATGGCATGCATAGCCGCCTCATCCTTCCCTGATGGATGAAGGACTAGATATATTCCGCTGATCATAGCGGTCTGGAACTCCCTGTACGCATTACTGAGGGAATCTCGGACCTCCTTTGACTGGACTTCCCGGAAGGCCTGTCGAACCTGAAAATCTTTGAGTGCAGATTCGAAACACGCCTCTCGCGAACGAGCATAACGGTCAGAGCTGAGCCGTCTGAGTATGTATGGTCGATGGAGACTTGTTCTTACGAACATGATCTCGGTGATGAGAAGATAACGATGGACAGGAATATAGGAGTGGGTTTCATCGAGAGAGCGATCAGGTTCGAGGGCAAAATGGGGCGGAAGGCTGGCAATGAAATTTAAAAGTTCGTCGTCCAAGGCCGTGACTTCGGAATAATGGCTGGGCTTAACTTGCTGGAAATGATGAGCGATTCTACCGATAATTGAAGCCAGCTGATGCCTTAGGATTACAAAGGTCATAGGTGTCGGGGAAGAAAGAGGAATAGGGCGACTCAAAGATTCGTCGTCTATATTCGACGGCGGGAGTGTAGATGTGTAGATATCCTGAATAGAATTTGGCCGCCCTAGAACAAGAGCGTATGAACGGTCCGCATGGTAAAGATATGACCTAGTTCATGAGATAAATTCTAAGATGAGTAAAAGGAACTTCAGGAGGACTTGCCATATTCTGCGTCGATATTCAACTAGATGAGGTTCCATACCCTGATTGACATAGTAAAGACGGAGTCCTGGATGAAGGATCTTGTTGACATACCATGGGAGCACCATCACGATGAAGACCTAGGGCTTGTGCAGTCCGAACAGCAGCACCTAGTTGACTCCAGCACTCGGTTATACGACGGTCAAAAGTTAAAAATCGAGCACTCTTTATATTGACATCAGCAAACTCTTGGGAAAGAGGACGGAAAACTGGATACCAAAAGTCGAGTTAACACTATGTCCAACGAATCTGGTTGGATAGCGGCTGCAATTAGGAGTGACCTCCGCGCTAATACCAGTTAGGCCGATGATATATAAGGACATATAGGCTAGCACTTACAAGACCAATAGTATCGTAGAGACGTAACCCTTCTAGTCCTTACATCCCCAGAGACGTCTTCAGGTGCAAGTCTCACAGCGATAGCAAGAACGACAAATAGCAGCGGTAAGAATCGAACATCATGAGGATTCGTGGCTGATATTCCATGGTCCCCTCCATTGTATATGGAGCTATAAGCGTCGCGGAAATCACGTTCGGATATAGGATAGCGGGTCCAATTACTGAAAAACTTGAGCCGAGGAGAAAGCTAGTGCTGAGCAGGAATACTTGCACTGATTTAAAATAATAGTCAATGAGCACCTGTGATGTCCTGAGAGGTGGAAGCTCATGCAGAAGCTCCGATATCTTGTGCGGTGAAACTCCGCATTCTTGTACAAGATTTTTCAAGTTATCGGCAGCAGTTGGCTCTAGTTCTGAACCAACGATAGCAGAAGCAGAAAGGTGGCCCGACCCATTCAGCGTGATATCGTTTAATCTGGCATCACGGCGAAGATGTTTGTCTTCGGTGTCTGTGGATGTGAAGGCATTTTGCAGCTAAAGAAGGCTGGGGATGAGAATAAAAGGGACATGTAACATGACATACTTGTTCAAGGATGGTCGCGGGAGCAATGCTACCTGAGGCACTATTACCGTACCACTTTCCGCTCTGAAACGTTCCTCCGCTGGGATCCTGATCTTCTGGCTGGGAACGGTTGTCTTCCTCAAGGGCAGTATGCCGAAACTCAGATATATGGGGGTCAAACGATGAGTTGGGAGTGGCTGGCATGCAGTACTGTGGGAGAGCCATTTCAATTATGTGCTCTATTCGCGCTAGTCGCACACTGATGTCCTGCTCGGTTTTGCCCGGCGTGTAGGCTTTACATAGATCAGGCACCTTCCTGGCTATGCACTAGTGAAATTCAGAATTATTTCATTTTCAATAAAAAAGAGATAACAGACATGCGAACACGGCACTTGTCGATCACACTGTATGAGGACTTAAATCAATCCCACGTCCGAAACCAAAGGCGGGAAGGAATTTGACCTTCTGTTTCCGACGATGACATTCTCCACAAGAAAAGCTAAAGCAAGACAGGTGACCGACTGCTCTAAAAAGTAAAACAGCAATCATACCTGACCCGAGATCTCTTCTTGGACGCAGGATTTGAGTCGTCATCGTCAACCTTTTTCCGTTTCACTGAATTGGACGGCGTTGAAGCGCCAGTTTTGTCGAGAGTCTTAACCATGAGTTGTGTTTATAGGGAGCCGCGGTTGGAAAACGCCCTCTCAGCGTCGGCGTACAGAGCTGACGAGATGAGGGAAAGGGATGAAAAGGCACGAGTAGATATCGTCAATGTGACTCGGTGTAATTCAAATCTCTCTTGTCAACACCGGCAAGCGGGCCGACTGTTCTCTCACCCCATATTAATGGAGGTTCCCTCCTGGAAAACCCTCAAACTTTCTCTCGAGCGACCTTACAAGGATGAGAATGGCGTGCCTGTTCCAGTTCTACAAGACATAACGCCTCAGGGAGAGCAGATATATGAACCGTACGCAACGTTCGCTTTCCCAGGGAAAAGCTGAACAGTTTTTATGCAGAAAACAGACTACCTCACAACTGCTGAGCGGAAACTTACGCCGCATCTTTCTTGAGCGAGGAGTCGACTTCTTTGATAAGACAAGGGATGGAAACCTAGCTGATAGGATTGTGGAGGCCCACGTTGATGTGAAGGACACGACGTTGGACACTGACAAGAGCAACGAGGACGAGGAAACGCCCAACATCATGACCAGCGAAGACCTCTACAAAATGAGGATACAGATAACGTCTCAGCTATTGTACGTTTTGATACGCACCTATATTTCATGAGGCGACTCACATTTTTCCAAGCATAGCGTTAGGAGAGATGACCCATGCACGCGACTTGCTCTCCGCCATCCTCTCGACTCCTGGGCAAGTGCCTCACTCTATTCCTGGCATACCACGTCAAGAAACGCACCCAGCTGCTCCGCTCTCTGCTACCATCATCCGAAAACCTCTACCTATTGTCTCCGTTCAGGCTTTCAACACACAGCTGGCAATTGGTAGCAAAGATGAGGCATTAAGAAAGGCCTCCGATGTATTCAAAGTAGCTGCCGACAGATTGGAGGGCGGTAGGCTGCGTGGAGAAAAATACTGGGCTGACGCCCTCAAAATACGACGAGAGAATTGGGCACTGATACCAGCGCCGTTACCACTGGGGTCAGCGACTGGAAAGGGAGCTGACAAGTCATCCAAAGACTTTCTGATATCGTATGGTCTGGAAGAATGTTGGTTTTCTGTTTCTTGATATGTCCTCACTTATTGATCTCATTCCAAGCTTCTTCCAGCTTCAGACGTCGCGCTATTGGGCACATGGCATCTCTCGAAAATGCTGCTGAAGGGTTGATATTTCCTTTTCGTCAACATACCTTACTACGTGTTTCTTTGACAAGCAGTGAAGGCCGCACTTCTTTGGCATTCTCAAAAGGCGACTCGCGGTCAGAGGACTCTGCATTAAATAACTCACTCAATAATGCCCAACGAGAAATCGTTGAACAGGAAATCTTCTCTCTCCTGGTCCATGAAGCCAGCAAACTACCAACTGCATCTGCCAAGGTTTCCGAACGTCTAATCGTTATTGACTCGGCTCTGGGTACTGAACTGAAGTTTGAACTTGTACGTCAGGCCTCTCTTTGATTGTAATCAGCTCATGATTTTCAGGTCGAAAGCGATTCTGTTATACCTTCGGCCTCCCAGAATCCGCTACAGCAAGCAACCTGTGACTTGATCTATTATTCTTTACACGCCCTACTTCTTCGGAGGCACCAGCATCTTAAATCACAAAGACTGAGTGGGAACGATGCTCCCAAGACAGACCCACCGCCTGTACTGCAGCCAATTATTGATCTACTGCAGTACCAAGTTTTCTGCCAGAGAGTTAAGACAGTCATAGAGGGCATCGTTACTGCCCTGACCCTAGCCGGTATAGCATCCACGCTCCGATTTCAACCTGTGGGAGAAGTGGGACATAAGCTCGTCAACCTCTTGGACAACCATCATGCAAAAACTGTAGGTGGTCAATGCATCCTGAGGATTGATAGACGGTGGGTTGTCGATTTGACCACGTGCTCAAAGTCATTGACGTGTCAAAACAGTCATACTATCCGATTCTCCTTCTTGGCACCGTCAACATTGCAGGCGCACTTAGCGCAGGCAACTTTGACAATATCATCTATTCCTCAGCTAAATCAGCTACTCACTGATGACGTCGGGCGCTTCCTGCTTCAGAGAATATGTGAACTCGGTCGCGAAATAAGTGGCGAAGTCAGCGGAATCTGGTTTCTTGACTTGAACCAATGTGTAGGCAGATGGGAGGGTTGCACACTGTACGTTTTATGCCAGCCATCCAACATGAAGCTAATCATCGACCATCAGCAACTTCCGGATTGACTTTCATGCAAATTCAACTTTAAGATGCACTCTTTTCCGATTAGATCGACACACACCAAAACAAGGCGAGTCAGAAGTATATCACTCAGGTCGTAATAATTCTCTTATCCCTTGGGTCGAGGGAAAGATACGGAAAGCACTGGGAATTCCATAGCATAAACATAGGCAACAGTGTATGCATGATATCCAGAACAGAGCATGTTGTACCATATATAGGTATACCCTTACTCTTGGTCGTCGCCGCCAGCCTGGAACTTCTCGATTTTGGCAGCGATCCTTGCCTTCCGCTGCTCGAGGGTGAGCTTGGGAGTTCTGTACTTCTCGCTCTCCGACTTCCAGTCTTTTGTCTTATCCGTAGGCTTGAATGTGGGGTCTTCGCGGATGGCAGCATAGGCGCTCGTGAAGATCTCCTCAATATCCTCAGATCCAACACCGTCAGCGAGGTACGTTGAGAACTGTTTTTTGAATCTCAAGATGGGCGTGTGAGACAAATAACAGAAAATGAATTGAAAATCACACACCGCTCATCATCTTCTTCCTCCAAACTCTCCATGTACTCAGCGACGTGCCCGCCGTAAATGTACTTCTTCAATACCTCGGCATCCAGCTCCTTACTTTCTGGATCGTAACCAGGGAAGCGCTTGTCGGAGTGAGGGATGAAGATACCACCATCGCTAGCTCCCTTCATAGCACCAAAGACACGTGAACCCGTAGATGTGCGCTTGAGACCGACGTCAAGGTAGCACTTGAAGGGCCGGGGGGCATCCTCCTCATCCAACGCTTCAGTTAATGTGGATGTACCGTCAGGCTCAGTGACACCTTCATATTTGTCTGCGAGCCCGAGTTTTGTGAGAGCACGACGGGCACAGAGGAGACCGGTAGCATAAGCTATATATCAGACAATAAATATCTCTGTCCAATGACCAACAAAGATCTAATACGAACCTGCTGTCCAGTTTGTCAATCCGTGGTTAATGCCATAGCGTGGTAGCTCTTTTGAACGCGCAGACGTCAAGACAAAGTCACCCTGGAGACGGGCATAGACAATCTGGACAATGACTTCCTTGTTTGTGAACCGGACGACGAGCCGGTATTTGGGAGCATTGCTAAAAAGAAATGAGAAGGCTAAGACAAGGATGAGAACATGAAACATGCTATTTGTTCTTGGCTTGGGTGACCAGTCGTTTACGAGCGTAATCTATACGACAGGTCAGCGGTATTTAACAGGACTTGTGAGCTTCAACCAACAGTCGGTTTTGCCTTCTCTCCTGCGACGGTATTTGACTTGGAACCGGGAGAAGTACGCGTCGGATTTGATCTTTTTGACGAACGGCATCTAAGAGAAACACAACATCAGCCCGTCATCCAAAATTTGCAGAGCCCATCCAGCCCAAGGACGGTACGGAACAAGCCCAAACACCCAAGGACGGATAATAGATGATGTTTGGGTCTTCAAGCATCATGGATTCGAGGGACATACCTTGAGGAACGGCCGGGAAGTGGGAGACGGTGAACGATGGACGAAACTTGGAGGGAAATCTTCCTGTCACGGTCTGTGACACAATGATTACATCATCCCTTGTGACTCGCTACATCTTGCTACTGAACTGAACTGTCATGGACGCCTACGCCAACTCGAGCTACTCGCAATACAGCCAGCAGTCTTCTGCTTATGATAATCCTTATCATCGACCATACCAAGGCCCTGCATATCCGCTTCCTGGATCATCGTCATCGCACAGCGCACCTGTTCCCGCAAATGCCTATGAGTACGATGTCGGTATCCTTGCGCAGCAGAGTGTGTATGTCCCGGGCGCGATGATTGACAAGAGGGGTGGTGCTGGTGGAAAGCTTGCAAAGGGTGGAAAGAGGACCACCGTTCTGCGTAAGGGAGGAGGAAAAGTCTGGGAAGACCAGACGCTGCTAGAGTGGAATCCTTGTGCGTGGCCTTTGTTCATTATCTCTAAGTGACTGATCCAACTTCTTTGCAGCGTGGTTCAGGTTGTTTGTCGGTGATCTCAGTAACGATGTGTCTGACGATGTTCTTTCGAATGCTTTCAACAAGTATCCTTCGTTCACGAAGGCCCGTGTAATCAGAGATCGTCTGAGCCAGAAGGTCGGAATAGTACAATCTTTTGCTTGATAAATTCTGACCTTTAACGTAGGCCAAGTACGGCTTTGTCGCATTTTCTGATCCCGAAGACTTTTTGAAGGCTTGGAAGGAGATGGATGGTAGGTTGGTCTTTATCTGTGTCGACACTCGCTAATCGGATTTGAACAGGCAAGTACGTTGGTAACCGGCCCGTGAAACTCAAGAAGGCCGATGATACTGCTATCCGGCCAGTTGAGATAGGTCACAGAAAGGCTAAGCAACTTGAAAGAGACCTGAAGAAGAACAGGCACAAACCTTATTAGATTCTGGACTCGAACGAATCACATTAGAGAGTATGTATATGCCTTCGAACTATGTTTGCTGTTGCTCATCTCAATGTCCACGAGTCTTCCGTTTACTTGTTCGTTGGGTCAGTGTCTGAATTTTACTTGTGCTCCACGGACTACCCGTTTCTTTCAGCACTCGGTCTCAAAGGCAGCGGATATGTGCTTTTGAATGTGCATTAGTAAGATTCCATTCATAGGCAATTGCCGTCGTCTGGTGAGTGACAAGCGTGGGAAGAATGCTATGTCATTCCCGTCCTTCACTCCTCTTCATCTTTCACCGGTCTGGTACCACTACATTACTACAGCTACAGTACACATCTACACCTGATGCTCTTCTTCGTGTCTTCTACCTTCTTTGTCGCTGTTCTCGTTCGTGCAGATGTCGTCCCAACGGCTTCAAACGATCTATCCAACGCTAGCTCACCCATGGTCTCATCAACTGGATGGGCATTGGAAGAACATGACAATCAATACTGCAACTTGCTTTTTATGAATGAGTTTTCCTTACTTTTCTTCAGAACTCATGGCTGGTTCCAATGACAACATGCAGCTTGTTGAGACTGTTCTGAAACCGTTCCATGACCAAAGTCTGTTGCAGCCCGAGTAGCCGGTGAGTCCTTCTGCAACCCAAAATGCAGACTCCTTTACGTTCTCATCTCTCTTTGTCCCAACACCTTGTCATAAAGGCGGCCAAGCCTTCTATGAGCCTCTCATAACCTGAATATACTTCCCACAACAAAGAACTTAGGCCGAAAAAGCCCAGTCAACGACTTGCCTAAAGCCATCTCAATAACCGCTCACCAACTCAACCGACGTTGCCGAGCACGATAAATGCCAGGAAAAGATAGAAGTCAACAGTCAAATGACTAAGAAGGGAATATGCTGACACCTCTGTACGCGCTTCTGCAGACCTGTGCCGACGTGGCAACTTGAAGGCTCATCGATGATCGATGCCAGTTTCCACTGTTCATTTCGGTATTTCTGTAGCGGAGTGCTCCAAAACCATCAGCGCTTACACGTTATAAAAGGATTTAATAACTTTGCTCGAGCTTCTTCCTTAGGGGTCCTCGGAGGGGCTCAATATATGTATACGTACGTCAGTGCAGGCGACTACCGGAGAGCGATATCGGTGAGTGCTAACAAGTAAACTTGGTTTTATCTTGAACTGGCAAATCAGATAAAACAAACTGTGGGGGTGTAATATATACCGCCGCTGATACACGCTAATGAATCCTAGAACTCGAACAATGTTTATTAAAAGAACCCCTGGGTTTCTAGACCATCGATGTTCATCCTTGTCTCTCTTAACCGCAGTGGTTCGGGCAATAGCTCACGTACGTAGGTCTTACTACGAGTGATACTGATGAGTGACCATCCACCAATAGGTAAGTAGCAGAAATGAAGCACTGCGACCTCTAAAATTTAATGTCAGTCGACGTCATTTCCAGGCATGCACCCTACTTTCATAACCTTCTGGGGCTTCTTAAAATGTGTTACGCGTCAAGGCTTACGGCGTTGCAAGTCCCGTTTTGTTATACAATTGACGATGTGGAAATACCGCTAGTGCTTCAAGAACAAGCACCAAAGTGCCAATCCTTGTTTTCATACCGAGGCTATGGATCCTGCTGAGGACCCATTTCTGGTCAATATCCAGATTGTCTTTGACTTTCGTTCACTTGTTCACTTGGCTTCAAACCGGCTGGGGACCAACTACTTGCAGATCAAAGGATTTTTTGGAACTAGGTTATTCATCAACAACGTATCATGGACAATGCTTTTTGGGGCAAGGTATTCCGACACTGTGTTCTATGGATGTATCTCTAGCTGTACCCATCCCCATCTGAAACTCGAACGCCACAACCCGAGCGATATTTTGCATTCGACTTAGTCAATCTTATTTATCTTTCTCCCCCGACAGTCCGAAACTACGCATGATTCTACGATATAAAGTTCGCGATACATTTTCATGGACATCCCTACTTTTCAGCCGACATCCCAGTTGTCTCTCCTCTCATCATGGCTGAAAACATGGTTCGCGAACCGCTCTCCCGCATAGACATCCTCATTGCAGGTCGATTCAGACCCTTCAGTAGCACATCCTCTGCAAAGCTGATAACTCTCATGTAGGTGGGGGCCTTGCAGGGTTAACCGTCGCCATCGAATGTCATCGCAAAGGTCACAATGTTCACGTTGTCGAACGTCGACCTGGTCTCGATTCCTTCGGTATGTGGCTCAAATACGTGTAACTTCTCAAACCTCACACACGCTCTTCTAGGTGATTTAATCGGCATCCAGCCCAGCGCACTATGCACTATGCGCAAGTGGCCCGGATTCGTGGACCAGCTCTATGAAAACCAATTCGGACCCGATGTCCACATGTACAAGTTTGATGGGACCCTCATTGGGGTATTCTCTAGCTTTAGTGACTATGACCCGAGTACTGGCGAACGTGCTGTCATTCTCAGTCGTCTGGAGCTCCATCGTGCGTTGCACAAATACGCAACTTCACTCGGGATTTCTATCCAGCATGGGATCAGCGTCGAACACTACTCCGAAACCATCGACAAGGGTTGTGCTATCCTTGCTGATGGTACCAAGCTTGAGGCGGATCTCGTCATCGCTGCAGGCGGCGTGGGAGGTAAGGCAAGGAGTACCGTCAGTGGGAAGAAGGAACAGCCTATCAGCAGTGGCTACACAATCTGTCGAACCACCTTCCTACTTGAGCACGCAATGAAGGATCCTCTGCTGGCGAAGGTGTACGAAGGCAATGGCTCCCATGCATCAGCTTATATAGGCCCCAATACACACATAGTGACCGGAAAAAACAAAAATATCGTTTGCTGGGTGATGACCTACCTCGCGAGTGCTCTCTTTTGATTATCCTGGTCCCATTCTGATAGCATGCCATACCAAGACAATGCCAATGCCACCGAGGACTGGTCAAAGACCCGGAGTTCTGATTCTGCGCTTAAACACGTGAAGGACTGGAGTCCGTTCGTCCCAGCTCTCATTAACGCGGTGCCCAACAAGGAAGTCGTTGACTGGAAGCTTATGTGGCGTAACCCGCAACCCAAGTGGACCTCCCAGATGGGTCGAGTTGCCCAAATCGGAGATGCTGCGCATAGTCTCCTTCCTACTAGTGGCAGCGGCGCGACCATGGCTATGGAGGATGGTTTCACTCTCGCAGCTTGTCTTCACATCGGTGGAAGGAATAACATCTCTTTGGCTGTTCAAGTTTACAACAAGCTGCGGTTCGTTCAAAATTCTTTTCTTGCCGTTCATTGTTAATGTGTTTCATTATATTTAGGTTTGAACGCGTCTCTTGTGTACAAAGGATGGGATTCAAGACGCGTGAAAATTGGCATCACACGGATTGGGATGCTGTCTCGAAGAACCCCCCAGCTAGTCGGCAAGATCATCGGTAACTGGCTAGCGAAGCACGATTCAGAGAAATATGCATACGACAATTATGCTGCGTGCGCGAAGCACATAACGGAGGGCACACCTTTTGCTAATACCAACACTCCTCCAGGCTACACCTACGAACCGTGGACAGTCGAAGATTTATTGAAGGCAGCGGGGGAGAAGACTGATGTTCAGGATGCTGGTGATTGGTCTTGAGTTACCCGCATATGTTGTCCATAGAAATTGGATCATTTAACGCGTCTTTCATGTTATCCCGGCTTGAACGGCCTCAAATTTTCTCTGTCTGGAACTAGACTACTACTGCGACTGCGTTGCGTCTTTGCGTGAATAAGGCCCAAGTTTGAAAAGATAAGGCTGCATGGCTACCCAGCAGATCCTTTTTCCTTAACCTACTGATTCCTTATCTTCTGTATCCGAAATACTATCTGCCACCTAGAGGTATTTACTTTCAGTTGTAGTAGTTTGTTATCGCTCATTCCTTCAATGAAATCTCTTGTCAAATTCGTCCTAAGTTTGTTGACAGGATTTCCCGGTTTCGTTTATATATATCAAACATCGATGTGATCGCAATGTCGACGATATGTTGCACAGATATATCATAGTATTGCTTTCAACCACGCAATACAAGAGCTGACGGCTGATTCCAATGATGGCAGTGGGCAGCAGCAGGCCCAAGATGCATGACATCACACCATGCACTTGAAGTGTACCACGAGGAGTGCCAAAGTGTGTGGTAAGAGTATCTCCTTGCCTTCATTAAATTTAGTCCAAGATCCTACTGCAACACAACATGCAGCCTTGTCCCTCATTCTGTCCATTCTCTTGTCCTACCTTAAGGTACTTCTGTGGTGTCTATGGCTATGTTTTCCCAAATCCATAAGGTCCTCCATTTACCTCCATCTAGAAAAGTGGTACTGTTGAAAGTACAGAGGAGAGTACAGTACAGAGGATTAGATTAGCCTCTCAAGAGAGAGACATCATACTTAAATACATTTTGTACTACTTTAAGAGCTTTCTATGAAGTACTATATAAGTCTTGATCATGGTCCAAGTCAGCTGCTACTGATTGACATAGTTTCTTTGAGTACATTCTCATACTCACTTGAGATTGCTATCCCAACACTCCCCCTCAATTCTGAGTTCCTAGGATACCTGCAGATAGATACTCATGTAATGGTCTTGGTAGGCCTTTAGTGAATATATCTGCTAAGTTCTCCTCTGATGTGCAGTGCTGAACTTTGACTTCATTTGAAGTCATGTGCTCATGAACAAAGTGGTACCATATGTCTATGCTTTGATCATGCATGGAATATAGGGTTCCCAGCAAATTTGATTGCTGATTGATTGTCAATAAAAATAGTAGTTGCACCATTGGGTGGTAATCCTAATTCAGTTAAGAGTGTTCATAGCCAAGTTACTTCCTGGGTTGTATGTGCAAGGGCCATATACTCTGCTTCCATGATAGATAAGGCTATGATGGGCTGTTTCTTTGAGCTCCAAGTAACAGCTCCCCCTGCATAGATACAGACATAACCAGATGTTGATCTTCTATCTGTTTTGTCTTTGTTATGATTTTTTCTTATTTTTTTTCTTATCTTATCTTATTCTTATCTTATCAGGGCACCTATCTTATCTTGAGCATCTACCTGCAGGCATGGAGAGAATTAGATAATCACAACAGTGGACAGTATGATTGTACTTGGTCACCTCATCCTTGAACAATTCTCCATTGTCTACTCTCTGATGACCAGACAGAACAAGTAGCATAGCACAAAGTGATACAATAGGCAGTAGTTATATTTATTGCAACTCAAAACAGTATATAAGTAGGATAGCTCTCACTGTAGTACTCCAGCTTTGAGCTATAAGTTTATCTCACACTATCTTCTTGTTAAGCCCAAATCCCATGTGACAATCAACACGTGATAAACAGTTTGGTACCTCACACTTTGGGTATGTCCGACCGAGTTCACTTGTGTGATGAGAGTGTTGTGTGGTTCAAGGCTCGACAGATTAGTTGAGCTCGAGATAAGATGGTGACGTGTAAACTTTAGTTCGAGACTGGGGTATTACAGCGAGAATGGGGCTACTTAAATACTGTTTAGCTGTTGTGCTATAAATAACTGTTCACAAAAGATATTGTCTGCTGTAGAGCTGTTCCCCCCTACCATTGCCAGGCTCTCCACAAAAGCTGTTGTCTTGCTGCGGAGCTGTGGTCATGCACTGCAATTTGAGGACAAAACGAGCATTGTCTCTCCCTTTACAGCACATAGCAGTGTGATAGAAGAAGGACCATCTTGGGCTGCTGGGCTAAGCATTCCCACGGTCATAAGCGCTGGCCTAGGCGCCTTGACTAAGCAAAGATAGGGGTTACTTCTGAGGAAAAAGAAAAGAAAATAGAAGAAAAATAGGAAAATCGTAACATTACCCCCTCTTTAAGACCATTGTCCCGATGGTTAAGTTAGGGCAGACCCCCCCCATTGAAAGGAGATGACCGATCTGCTGGACCTGTCCATCAGTCTGCAGATTCATAAAGACTTTGACCTATCATTGGATGTTGCAGGATCTCGAACTGCGAGAGCAGTGGATCTTTTTGCAGTTTGCCGGTCGTTATGTCATGACTTTCGATGTGTCTCAGGCTGCCTGTGGATCCATCATGTTCATGGGGTACATTGCTCTTCGTTGTATGTCCCCATGAATCCCAGTTTGCTTTGTTACTGCGGCAGTCATCATGTCCTCTGCTGATGGCAGGTCGATTGTTCCAATTTCATTGTGGTGCTGATTGCAATGATTGTCTTCGAGAAGCGATCAACCATGACGATGATTGCATCCTGGCTGTCACTTTCGGGAAGCTTCGTTATGGTCTTCGAGAAGCTGCTGCCAATGATGATCCCGCTCTTTGATCTAGTTCGTCAGATCTGTAGCAGAGAAATTCCATCCTTTATAAACGGCTCCCCTGATTTCTCTCCAGTGAGATAATGTCATTACCCAGCAGGTATGATTTATTATAGTGAGGGGTGTGTTGTCGGATGACATTTCCGTGATGTCCCCTGTCTGAAATTACGACCTGAGGCATGCAGTGCATTGCATAAGCCTGATGTTGTAGCATTTTTTTGTTCATCCCCAGGATGTCAATTCTATTGAGTTCATGATCGGAATGATTGCCTTCGAGAAGTGATTGACTATGATGATGATGGCATCATAGCCATCACTTTTGGCAAGATTGGTTTTTATGTGTTTTTGATGGCCTTCGAGAAGTGGTTGCGAATGATTATGATTGTATCATTGGCATTGCTTTCGGAAAGGGGTAAGTGTGGTTCTGGTGACGAAGAGACCTTCTTCGCAATTCATCTCTGATGAATTACTTGGATCCGTTTTTGATGCATCATGTATCTCTTTTCTGTGGCTATACCTATGCCATGGAAATGTTCTGAGTGGAAGGATCATGATGTCTCTTATCATATCTTTGCCTCTCATAATTCTTGACATATCAGGTGATATTATAGTCTATTTTAGACCATCAATATCATGTCAAGAATGATTCCTCTGTTTTTTGCCGATCCGTGATATTCGCCAGTTTTTCTGATTTTTCGAGATTTCCGGTGCTCCAATGAGATAATTTCACCACTCAGAGAGTGCGAGTATTATGGCGAGGAGTCTGAAATTCCTTTCATTGCATCTGGTTACTGTGCGCGCCTTTTTCTTGTATCCTGGCTTGATCTAGCCAGAATGCTGTTCCCTGGTATTCGATGTTGAATGCCACTCATTAAGAAATTCTCTGGTCCCTTGGGGAAATTTCTAGTCCGTGTTCTTGGTTGGATCATGTCATGGAATGATCCGCTGATAGAGGTTGATTAATTCATGGAAGGATTATAGTTCCTTCTGTGTTAGTCCCGATCTCTGGTTGGGACTATATCGATGTTTTTTTTGAAGATCATGATTCCGAGAATCATTCTTCAGTCCAGTGTTCTGGGTCCCATCGGTTCGAACAATGTTCGTTTTTGTTCGAAGAGCGGTTTTTTTGTTGTGTTATGCTTTTTACAGCACATCCATCATTAGGCAGTTATTAGTTTATCGGTTAAGGTATGCATGATCCAGGTATAGTAACTATTATAAAAAGGAAAATGTCAGTTTGTCAATTTAGTTTGTGGCCGAGTTCCTGGACTCGGTCAATGCTCAACCCTTCCGGATGCTGTTGGGGCTTCTTGCCCCTTTTCTGAGAAGACTGATGTCTTTGGTCTTCAGTATGGGTGACTCCGGTTCCTGGATCCCATGGCCATATGTCAAGGCAATCGCCTCAGCTCTTTGTTGCTGTCGTTCCTTGTATATCTCGATGGTTCAGCCCTTCCATTCGTCGTAACTACTCGGGATATACTGTTCTTTGTTTAGGATTGTCGTAAGATAGATGGGTGGTAATCCTGTCTTGATACATTCGACCATGTATCTGGTGTCGGTAGTATCGTCCCGTACCCCAGTGAGTGTACCGAGTTGTTCTAGTCTGGTGAAATAATCTATCGTCGTTTTTCTGGCCAGCTTGTGTTCCTTCATCTGTTGTCTGTAGATTTTGGGAATGGAGGTTGTTGGGGTCGGAATCCCGCCATCAGGCGGTTGCGCCCACCCTTGGATGATGCTATTGTTTCCAGTGGTGTATGGTGGTGGCAGCTCGGCAGGTGATTGCGGCACTGACGGCAACTTCCTCAGTTCTGGATGTTGTCGTATTGCCTGGGATCGGCTCTGATCATGCCGAGATGCCATGCCAGGAATGGTGCAGGTATTATGCGAGTGCTGGGATGGTGCCGTTCGGGTTGACGGAGCCATGGATGCCGATTCTGAGGGTAATACGTTCGGTATCCACGGCTTGACTGCTGTTCTTTTCCCATACATCGGCTTGTATGGTTGTGTCGGCCCCATCTAGTAATGCAAAAATCATTGATTAAATTTAAAAATGGCCCGTTCCATGGCTGCATATTGTAAAATTTCCTCTCGCTCGACCCCATCGGTGAGAGTATACCTTTGACCTAGTGACGACCTTAGCCAAAGGTCGTCTCCCCACAATTCGGCTATCTGCTCTTGGTACAGCCGAATGAACTCCTGCATGCGCACCTTGTGCACTCCCTTCCTTATCAATTCCTCTGCTCTCTGTCCATCAAAACTTTCTTCGGATTCAAAGGGAAGGTCCCCGACCTCCCCGATTGAATCCCCCTCCTTGGCCTCGTCATCCGCGTCACTGTCCTGGTTCCACATTTCTCCCTCAAGGAGGGAGATGTCATCCAGGTTGTAAATTGTCGGTTTGGCGGGTCTGGGGTTGGGTGCTTGGTCCGGCATCCTCTGGTCCAGGGCGAGGAGAAGACTCCCACCCAGACTGCTGTTGCTCATGCTCAGCCTCTCCCCCTGCCGCGTTTGTCGCCACTGCTTGGCTATATCGATGGAAGTTTTGGTAAAATCAGGGTTGAAGGAAGAGGGCAGCCACTGGTCCATCAAGAAACCGTTTAAGGTCTCCTGTGGGGTCGATGTGCTGGCTGTCCCCTCCAATCGATTCCCGATCTGCTGATATTCCGTTTGTGCGGTGTGGGATACTGTCGGTGTCTGCGATGGTATCCATTCCATATGATAGTGGGTGGCTGTCATCCAGCTCATCGGTGTCGGCGTCGAGCTCCTCCTGTCTTGGGATGTTGTTGGCATAGATGACTCTGTCGACAGGCGCCGCCCATGGGTCTGATTCGGTGGGAGAAGGGATGAGGTATTGGAGTCAAGAGTCGAGGGTGCTGGTGTCGACCAAGGTTCCGGTATCAGTACTGCCACCTTCTCTCCTCTGCTGTTCTGCCTCCCGTGCTCTGAGGTACCTCCCGAAGAGGTTGTGCTCCCTAGAGATTTCATTGTCGACATGTAGTTGAATGGTGGCATGCCACCAGTTGTGCCGCCTGGTGAGGTCATTTCTGGCCTCTGTCCTGTTGTCAATACTGTTACCTTGTACTGACGTTGTATAATGGGATCTCCATGCCCTAGTACTGGTCCCATGAGCCATCTGTGAGCTGTCCAAGGAGTCTCTGGCATGGCGCCCAATGCCAGTGTCAGAGATGGTGGTTGGCATCCTTGTTGCTCCGTTACTGCACTGGGAGGACTGGATGGAGGTGTCGGGCCTAGGTCGTCGGAACCCTGTTGCCCAAGGGTTTCCAGAGTTCCAGATGACTGCCGGCAGGGGTCGTGAGGGGTATTCATGCTGCTGGGGCTGTTCCTCTTCTTCCATATGGTGTTCCAAAGACGTTCTTCCAGAGACGTCTTTGGAGTCGACTCCTTCTGGCTGATGAGGCTGTCGGGAGGTCGAAGGTCGAGTGGAAGCAGGAATATCGTGAAGAGGAAGATCCGGTGTAACATTTCGTAGAATGGTACGGATGCGCTGAAATTCGTGATAGTGACGGATAGACCAGGCGATGATTGATTGGTGTTCACAGCACAGCTGTATGAGCACTAGTAGACCGACTAGAATTCTGATGATAGAGACAAAGAGTATAAAGAACTCTTGGGTAAAGTTCGGATTTGAGGGATTAAGCACAGGGGGCATTCAGTTTCTCAGCACAATTGGGCTTGAGAAAGGGAATGAGACAGTCTCGAACTAATTGTTAAGCCCAAATCTGTTAGGCTCAAGCATCATGTGGACAGATACATGTGATAAACAGATGTTCCTTCACACTTCGAGGAATCACCTGAGTTCACTTAATATGTACCTGTCTGTTGTGATACAAGGTCAGACATTGACTCGAGGTAGAATAGCATGTATAAACTTTAGCTTGAAGCTGGGGTTTACCAGCAAGAGCATTGGTCCTTAAATACTGTACAGATGTCTCCTAATTATACTACTTGCTTATTATGTGTGTCTGTGTCTATGGTGCCCATTGTCCTTGGGCATCATTACCGTACATAAAAGGATGATTGTGTCATCATTGGGCTCGACCATTGCATGACTTGACGGGCAGGTTAGTTGTGCTGACTAAGCTCCCCACGGTCTTATGCCTTCTGACTAAGCATAAATAGGGGTAAAAGGGAATAAAAGGGAGAAATTTGTAATATTACCTCCTGCTTAAGACCATTGTCCCGATGGCTTAGTTAAGGGATAATTCGTAGTCGTATATGGCATCGTCCACGTTCATGTATTTTTCGTTTATCCATTGATTTGATTCTGGGCCGTACCCTTTCCAACTGACAAGATAGTCCACCGTGGTCGTCATTCCGCCCCCGCGGGCTTTGATTTTTCGGAGTTTGTGGTTTAAGACTTGATCGATTTCATAGTGTTCCTCGTTATCAATCAATTCGGGGGGTGGACGTGGTGGACGTTCTTGATTAGGGAAGGCTGGTGCTATATACAGAGTCAGGAGAGATTCATTGAATACGTCGTGGATTTTCCATCCTGTCAGTAATTTCAATTTATAGGCGGATTCTCCGACTTTTGCCATGATTGTAAAGGGGCCTGTTCATTTGTCAGTGAGTTTTCGTTTTGGACGGGGGAGATGGAGGTTGGTTGTATCGAGCCAGACTTTGTCGTGGGTCTGGTATACATGGGCTGCCCATCAGTGTTTATCATACTGGTGTTTCATGGCATTTGCTGTTTTTTCTAGCGCAGCTTTTGTTTCGGTGTGAAATTTTTCCAGTGTCACGGCGAAGGCTGTGGATGCAGGAGTTGTTGTTTTGTGATGGCTTGTCTGTGCGACATGTGGGTGTCGGCCATGGTTGACGAAAAAAGGTGTCAACCCTGTGGCGGAGTGTACCCTGTTATTGTGTTGAAAGGCTGCGAGTGCTAGTCATTCAACCCAATCATCTTGTCAATAGTTGATAAATAGGCATAGGTATTTTTCAACTTCTTGGTTTGCTCATTCGGTCTGGCCGTTGGTCTGTGGATGATAGGCTGTAGATGCATTTCGTTTTATCTGCAGTAATTTGTATAGGTCATTGAGAAACTTTGAGACGAATTGTGGTCCTCGGTCAGAAATGACCACTTGTGGCATTCCATACTTGGCATATACCTCATCTCGTAAGATTTTTGCCCATCCTTCTGAGGTTAGTTCAGTGGAACATGCGACTGGGATGATTATTTTGGAGAACCGATCAACTATGACGAGGATCATGTCATAGCCGTTGCAGTCTGGTAAACCCGTGATCATATCCATGGAGATATGGGTCCATGGTTGTGACGGTACTTTATTCGGGTGTAAGGGTGCTGGTGGTGATTGTGTCGATGCCTTCCCCCTTTGGCATGTCTCGCAGGCCTTGATGTACGAAGTAATGTCATTGCTGAGTTTAGGCCACCAATAATTTTGCAGGACGAGTTCCTTTGTTTTGGTGATGCCAGGATGTCCTGCCATGGCATGGTCATGACAAGTCGCAATGATCTCCCCATGCAATCATTGAACTCGTGGGATATAGATCTTTCCATCGTAATGGATCATTCCATCTTCCTTCATCATTCCCTGCTCGTGATTGAGTGAGGTGGCAATCCTTTGATCCCACTGATGTGCATCTCGTGTCGCGCTTTTAATGTGCTCGTGTATTTCCTCCTCTGTCAGCATTATTAGTGCTCAGAAGTGTTCGGGGCGTAGGATGGTAATTCCATCATTGTCGTTCCTTCCTTGATCGTGATCTGCATGGTGGGAGAGAAGGTTGGCTTTTTTGTTAGCGACCCCGGCCTTATGATGGAGTGTGTATTGATATTGGGTGAGCTCGGTGACCCATTGAGCTTGGCGACAGTTCAGCTTTTGAGGTTGGCAGAAGTATCTAAGATTTTGGTAGTCCGTCCAGATCTCGAAAGCATTGGCTGCCCCAATTAGATAATATCGCCACTCTTCGAGGGCAAGCATTATCACGAGTAGTTCCTTGTCATAAATCTCGTAGTTCCTCTCGGTCATGGTTAATGCTTTTGAGAGGAACGTGATAGGGCGCCACTTCTCATCCTGTTCCTGGGACAATATGGCACCTATGGCCCCTTCACTGGAATCAGCCTCCACTCGGAACCTCCCTTCTTGAGATAGAATGGTGAGAACTATGTCTTCCACTAGTCGCCGTTTTAAGTCCTTGAAGGCGAGTTGTTGAGGAGTTCCCCACCCCCATGGAGCATTTCCTGTGAGTTGTGTCATGGGGTGGACAATTTTGCTGTAGTCTCATATGAACCACCTGTAGAAGTTGGTGAAGCCAAGAAAGGATTGTAATTCCTTTTTCTTGGTGGGGGTCGGCCAATCTACTACTCCTGCAACCTTTATCGGATCCATGCGAATGCTCCCTTCGCTGATAATTACTCCAAGGTACTCGGTTTCTAGCACCTCAAATTTGCATTTCTCCACCTTGAGAAACAGTTTGTGTCTTCTCATGAGGGCGAGTATCCGTCAGACCAGATCGTGGTGTTCTTCTCTCGTCTTGGACATTATGAGGATATCATCGAGATAAATGGTCACCTTTCCAGTGGCGATGAGATCTTTGAATATATCATTCATCATCCACTGGAAGGTAGCAGGGGAGTTGGTTAGACCGAAGAACATTACGGTGGGTTCGAACAATCCTTGATTGGTCCTGAACGTGGCCTTCCACTCGTCCCCTTCCTTGATCCAGATGTTATTGTACCCCCAGCGGACGTCAAGTTTAGTGTAATACTTGGCCCCTTGAAGTTTGTCCATTAGTTCCGAGATCAGTGGCAATGGGTATCTGTTCTTGATAGTCATTTCATTTAGTTTGTGATAGTCCTATATGGGTCGAAGTTTGCCGTCCTTCTTTTTTACGAAGAAGAAGGGGGAAGCCATGGGAGACTTCGACGGTCGAATTTGCCCAGAGGATAAGTTCTTGTCTAGGAACTTGTCGAGCTCTAATTGTTCCTGACTACCGAGGGGGTAGATTTTGCAGTT